AGATTGCGTCCCAGGAGGGCGGCCGGCTCGCCTAAGGGCGGCCGGCTCGCCTAAGAGCGGCCGGCTCGCCTGAGGGCGGCCGGTGCGCCTAGCGCGCCTAGGGCGGCCGGCTCGCCTGAGGGCGGCCGGTGCGCCTAGCGCGCCTAAGGGCGGCCGGCTCGCCTGAGGGCGGCCGGTGCGCCTAGCGCGCCTAAGGGCGGCCGGCTCGCCTGAGGGCGGCCGGCGCGCCTAGCACGCCTAAGGGCGGCCAGCTCGCCTCAGGGCGGCTGGCTCACCTTTTCTGGTGAGTGTGGTTCGTGGCCGCCTTTCAATTAACAAATGAATACTATTCGCAATTTAAACACTTTTTAACTGTTTAAACTGTTGAAACTGCGCCTTCCTTTTGCAGTTTAAACACTTTAAACACTTTAAATATTTAAAAAGTTTAAACTGTTTAAACTGCGCCTTCTATTCGCAGTTTAAACAGTTTAAACACTTTAAATATTTAAAAAGTTTAAACTGTTTAAACTGCGCCTTCTATTGGCAGTTTAAACAGTTTAAACACTTTAAATATTTAAAAAGATTAAAAAGTTTAAACTGTTTAAAGTGTTTAAACTGCAAATCGTCCAGAAAAAGCACTACAGAATTCAAAAAAATGGAAAGCTTAAAACTCGGCTTTTTGAAACGATTTGCAGTTTAAACAGTTTAAACAGTTTAAACACTTTAAACACTTTAAATATTTAAAACGTTTAAACTGTTTAAACTGCGCCTTCTATTCGCAGTTTAAACACTTTAAACACTTTAAATATTTAAAAAGTTTAAACTGTTTAAACTGCGCCTTCTATTCGCAGTTTAAACACTTTAAACACTTTTAATATTTAAAAAGTTTAAACTGTTTAAACTGCGCCTTCTATTCGCAGTTTAAACAGTTTAAACACTTTAAATATTTAAAAAGATTAAAAAGTTTAAACTGTTTAAAGTGTTTAAACTGCAAATCGTCCAGAAAAAGCACTACAGAATTCAAAAAAATGGAAAGCTTAAAACTCGGCTTTTTGAAACGATTTGCAGTTTAAACAGTTTAAACAGTTTAAACACTTTAAACACTTTAAATATTTAAAACGTTTAAACTGTTTAAACTGCGCCTTCTATTCGCAGTTTAAACACTTTAAACACTTTAAATATTTAAAAAGTTTAAACTGTTTAAACTGCGCCTTCTATTCGCAGTTTAAACACTTTAAACACTTTTAATATTTAAAAAGTTTAAACTGTTTAAACTGCGCCTTCTATTCGCAGTTTAAACAGTTTAAACACTTTAAATATTTAAAAAGATTAAAAAGTTTAAACTGTTTAAAGTGTTTAAACTGCAAATCGTCCAGAAAAAGCACTACAGAATTGAAAAGATGTAAAGCTTAAAACTCGGCTTTTTGAAACGATTTGCAGTTTAAACAGTTTAAACAGTTTAAACACTTTAAACACTTTAAAAATTTTAAAAGTTTAAACTGTTTAAACTGCGCCTTCTATTCGCAGTTTAAACAGTTTAAACACTTTAAATATTTAAGAAGTTTAAACTGTTTAAACTGCGCCTTCTATTGGCAGTTTAAACAGTTTAAACACTTTAAATATTTAAAAAGATTAAAAAGTTTAAACTGTTTAAAGTGTTTAAACTGCAAATCGTCCAGAAAAAGCACTACAGAATTGAAAAGATGTAAAGCTTAAAACTCGGCTTTTTGAAACGATTTGCAGTTTAAACAGTTTAAACAGTTTAAACACTTTAAACACTTTAAATATTTAAAAAGTTTAAACTGTTTAAACTGCGCCTTCTATTCGCAGTTTAAACACTTTAAACACTTTAAATATTTAAAAAGTTTAAACTGTTTAAACTGCGCCTTCTATTCGCAGTTTAAACAGTTTAAACACTTTAAATATTTAAAAAGATTAAAAAGTTTAAACTGTTTAAAGTGTTTAAACTGCAAATCGTCCAGAAAAAGCACTACAGAATTGAAAAGATGTAAAGCTTAAAACTCGGCTTTTTGAAACGATTTGCAGTTTAAACAGTTTAAACAGTTTAAACACTTTAAACACTTTAAATATTTAAAAAGTTTAAACTGTTTAAACTGCGCCTTCTATTCGCAGTTTAAACACTTTAAACACTTTTAATATTTAAAAAGTTTAAACTGTTTAAACTGCGCCTTCTATTCGCAGTTTAAACAGTTTAAACACTTTAAATATTTAAAAAGATTAAAAAGTTTAAACTGTTTAAAGTGTTTAAACTGCAAATCGTCCAGAAAAAGCACTACAGAATTGAAAAGATGTAAAGCTTAAACTCGGCTTTTTGAAACGATTTGCAGTTTAAACAGTTTAAACAGTTTAAACACTTTAAACACTTTAAATATTTAAAAAGTTTAAACTGTTTAAACTGCGCCTTCTATTCGCAGTTTAAACAGTTTAAACACTTTAAATATTTAAAAAGATTAAAAAGTTTAAACTGTTTAAAGTGTTTAAACTGCAAATCGTCCAGAAAAAGCACTACAGAATTGAAAAAATGTAAAGCTTAAAACTCGGCTTTTTGAAACGATTTGCAGTTTAAGCAGTTTAAACAGTTTAAACACTTTAAACACTTTAAATATTTAAAAAGTTTAAACTGTTTAAACTGCGCCTTCTATTCGCAGTTTTTTAACAGTTTAAACACTTTAAATATTAAAAATATTTAAACTGTTTAAACTGCGCCTTCCTTTTGCAGTTTAAACAGTTGAAACACTTTAAATATTTAAACTATTCAAACTGTTTAAACTGCGCCTTCAAGGCCCGCACTTTAATCAGTTTTATCTTTTTAAATAGCACAGGGCACCCGTCAAATAGAGCATAAAGGTCTACCTTACATATATATATATATATACATAAGTACACATATCATGTCGCAAAGCTCTGGCATGTATGCTGTGATCCTTTGGTGCCGGGATATTTTGGAAACTCCTTCCTGGGAACTGCCCCCTTGGCTTTCGGCGCCCTTGTCCTCCTTGAAGCCAAGCCAGTCAAAGCCCAGCCAGTCCTTAAAACAGCCAAGGACTGCTCCCCAAGAACTGCAAAAAAACTCTTTGGGGGGCGTGGTGGTTCGGGAAGCAGCTGCTCACGGCTCAGCTCCTGGCCTTGGCGTCATCAGAGGCCTCCACCCATGGTCAGAAGGCAGGGCTTCATGGAAACTGCGGCCACACTTTCAGGGGGGGGTTGGATCTCTGGATCTCAGCAGTACCTGGGAATTGTTGAAAATGCATGGGCTTTTTTGCATGTCTGAAGCTCCGAAACTGAGGGTCCATGCAAGAAGACCCCAGTAGGGCTCATTCTACTTGGAGGTTCATGGTACTTACTAACCAATCATAACTGTACTTATAACCCACTTATAAGCATTCTAAGTGCCCTGTTTGGGTTATAAGTACTGTTATAAGTACAGTTAAAATTGGTTAATAAGTACCATGAACCTCCAAGGAAGGTCGCGTCAGCGCCATTTGTCTGTGACATATTTTCGAGTTTTGTATGACACTGCGGATTCTGTAGCTTGTTGCTTTGGCACGCATTGCTTCACTGCAGCCCACAACGCAGCCTCGCATGCCCAGCGGCGTCTGAGGCGGGCAGGGCAGCCCTGCGCACAAAGACTCTGCGAACTGGCAATCTCAGACAAAATCTGTCTTTTGTACACATACTCTTCATCTGGCCACAGCGATGGTGAGAGATCCCGTGATGCAGCTACTGAGGGAAGGCTGTCCCCCCTGGGCCCCCAGTATCTTTAAAGGGCTTCGGGAGCTTTGGGGACCAGCTGGGATTCTGGGCTTCAGGCTTCAGATTTGGTTGAGTGTTTTCAAAGCGGCGCGTGTCTGTATGGATTCACGGTATTTTGGGCTGGTCGGGGGTGGGGAAAGGTGGCCCAGGGTTCAAAAAGGGTTCAAAAAATGGGTCTTTTCCAAGATAGGGGTACCCTTCTTATGCCCCAAATAGAAGAGAACCCCCTTAAGGGACCCCCCAAAAAAAGGTACCCCAATCTTCGGAAAACCCCCTGTAAAATGGCCTCCCGTCCCTCCTGGCTCTTCAGCTCGCAGCGCAGGTCCTCACGTGCGCTTGGGTTTAGGGTTTAGGGTTTAGGGTTTAGGGTTTAGGGTTTAGGGTTTAGGGTTTAGGGTTTAGGGTTTAGGGCTTAGGGTTTAGGGTTTAGGGTTTAGGGTTTAGGGTTTAGGGTTTAGGGGTTTTTTTCCACGACAAGAATGACAGCGAACACGGGGAATCTGAATTATCCCGGATTGGTCCGAGCTGCCTTTGGAAGCTCTTGGGTTGTACTGCCAGGGTTGGCATCTCAAGTTTAGGAGCCCTGCTCAACTTGGACCCACCTACCATTTGCTTAACAGCCCAAAAAAACACAATAATCATCCCTATATTGCACTTTTCAAGCATATTCGTTGTTTTGAGGGGGTTCCTCAGCAAATGCTGGTGACCGCGCAGTGGTTTAGGTATGGAACAAGTGGCCCTCGAAAAAGAGCTTACCTGCACTTACTGCGCTACAGGGTCAGCCTCTTCTATTCCGCACTCGTGGGACATACTCGTCCTCCCACCTTCTTGTCAATGATCTGGGGCGAGATCAAGGCCTCATATCTGGAGCCCAAACAAGGCTTTTGCAAACCTGGCTGCACTGGGGTCTCGGCCGGCTGCACACCCATGCAACAGCGAGGGCACTGCAGTCCTTCGAGGACGCCCCTGGCATGCACGCTGGCCCTACGTGTGCCTACGGCGTGGGTCGCTGAAGATGGACGAAGCTGAACCCACGTGTTGATGGAACGCACAGTGAGAAGCTGGACAACGGAACGCTAGCTGCTGCAAGCCTGGACCCCCACTGCGTGCTGTGAAGCCGAAACGAGCTATCGCCCCAGTGGCACTGCACATCCACGGCACCCTCTCCTGGTTGGTCAGATTCATTCACTTCATTTGCATGGTGGAACTTGAACCAGCTGTGGCTCTGGGGTCTGGGCTCATCTCGGCTAGGTGACCTCCCGCTCGCCAATCGCAGGAGTACACGTGCATGCGGCGGAGCAGTCATCCGGCAGCGCAGGCGAGTGCTCCTGAGCAAGGCCCCTCACGCCTTCACGTCGTAGAAGCAGCGTCCAGGAGCGAGCATGGCGGCCCAAGTGGCCTCGGTCTGCTTTGCCCTGGCATTGATGGCCAGAAGTTCGGCAGCAACGTTCGGAGAAAAAAAGACTATGCTATTCTTTGCATTGTAGTACTAGTTGTTGATTATTCTTCATCTGGCTACATATCAGTATACATTGTGACATATTGTATACACTGTTGCAAATTAAGTTTGATACGTTATTCTCTGCCATTCTACATTCTCAGTTGCTAGTGTTCCTAACCACATACTATTTGCTGTTATGTTTGATTGCTTCCTGATTTATTTATTCTGATGTGTTATCACCTTTTTTACTCTGTGCTACACTTTCTGAAAAATTAATCTACGCTACGATGTCTTGTTATACATTCCCATACATTAAACGACATTGCTATGTGGGTGGTTGTCAAAATTATGGTCCCTTTTTGGGTCCCTAGTATAATACGGCACCTCATATTTAGGGTACCCCAAAAGGGATCATAATTTTGACATCCACCCATGTATGAGTATGTCAACTCGGGGGCGCACTGCCCGCCAGCGCCTCCGGGCCATTGGCGAAGGCCCGGGCCAGCTCCGACCAGCCTGAAGTGCCCCCGAGTTCATCATGGTTAAGGTTTAGGGTTTAGGGTTTAGGGTTTAGGGTTTAGGGTTTAGGGTTTAGGGTTTAGGGCTTAGGGCTTAGGGTTTAGGGTTTAGGGTTTAGGGTTTAGGGTTTAGGGTTTAGGGTTCCTGACACCTCCTTGCCATTACCATTGTCTTCCTCAACCGTAAGTTCTTGAGTCCTACTACCCCTCTTATCCGTGTACAAACGACAGTTGTTGCCATGTTTCGCACCAGACCTCCAACATCCGGCAAGCAAGGGCGGGAGCAGGAACGCGAACCCAGACTGGCACCGAAGCTCGGGATCATGGGGTTTTCAGATTTCAGGAACGCATCATCATATGCACTAATACCAACCAAGTCATTCATAACAACATATCATAGTACAAATGTATACATAAACCTACTGTATATATATATATAAACACATATATATATATATAAACACACATATATATATATGGTCACCCCCCCCCCCATGATCCACACCTATGGTTTTCCTGTCTTCGTCTTTGTCTGATTTTCTGTTTTTTCACCGGAAAAATGCAGTAAAAACTGCACTGGAATACAAAAAGCTCTATTATATTATCCTCTATAAAAACACTAGTGTTTTTATGTGCATTTTGCTTCTGAAACTTGTGTTTTGCGGCTCTGTAAAATTTTAGAAGGGTAGCCATTTAGAAGCTTAAGGCTTTTCAGGGTTTTAGGTTTTAGGGGTTTGTAAAAATTTAAAGGATCTGTGGAAGGCACCGGGGCTTCCCCAGACCATTTGCAATTTTAAAGATCCTTAAAAGGGGCAGCCCTTTTCAAATTTGAAGGGCTTTAAGGTATTTAAAGCCTTTCAAAATGTTCAAGATTTAAAGGGTCTTAAAAGGCTTTAAGCCCTTAACAACCTCGAAACGTTTATCCCTCAAAAGTCTAAAATTCTTTAAAATCTAAAACGGGCAGCCGTTTAAAATTAAGGAAGTTACGGATTTTAGAATTGAACATCCTAAAATCTTTAAACTTTAAAAGGACAGCCATTTACAACGGTAAGACTTTCAGGACTTTACGGATTTTAAAAATTTTATATTGTCTGGGGAAGGCACCGGGGCTTCTCCAGACCATTGGCAACTTCAACAATCTCTAAAATCCGCAAAGGGCAGCCACTTAAATACGTAAGCAATTTAAGGTCTTTAAAAGGCTTAAACGGCTTAAAACCTTCATAATCCTGAGAATGCTTAAACAGAAGCTTAAAGATTTTTATAAGATTTTAAGGATTTTTAATGTTTAGGTGGGTCTGGGGAAGCCCCAATGCCTTCCCCAGATCATGTAAACTTGCAAAAACCCTCAAACCCCTTAACCCTAAAATCCATCCCCGAAACCCTTAGCTCTAAACCCTAAACACTCAGCACCAGACCCTAAACACTAACCCAAAAACTTAACACTAAGCCCTTAGCACAAACCCCAAGCACTTAACATGAAACCCTAAACACTTAAGCACTAGACCCTAAACACGAAACCCTAAACACTCAAACACTACACCCTAAAAACTAAACCCTGAACATTACACACTAAACCCTACACACTAAACCCTGAACACTAGTAAACATCCTTGAAACCCTAAATCCAAAAAAACAAACCCGAAACCCTTAACACTAAACCCTAAACCCTCAGCACTAGACCCTAAACACTAACCCTAAAAACTTAACACTAGGCCCACAAACCCCAAACACTTGACACGAAACCCTAAACACTTAAGCACTACTAAACCCTAAACACTCAGCACCAGACCCTAAACACTAACCCTAAAAACTTAACACTAAGCCCTTAGCACAAACCCCAAACACTTAACAGGAAACCCTAAACACCTAAGCACCCCTAAAACCTAAACCCTAAACATTACACACTAAACCCTACACACTAAACCCTTAACCCAAAAAAAAGCCGAAACCCTTAGCACTGAACCCTAAACACCAGCGTAAACACTAACCCTAAAAGCTTAACACTACGCCCTTAGCACGAACCCCAAACACTGAACACGAAACCCTAAACACTTAAGCACTAAACCCTTACTAAACACTAAACCCTAAACACTTAAACACTACACCCTACAAACTAAACCCTAACCATTACACACTAAACCCTACACACTAAACCCTAAAGCCTAAACAGAAGGGTTTTTTAAATTGTCAATGGTCTGGGGCAGCCCCGGTGCCTTCCCCAGATCATTTAAATTTGTAAAAATCCTAAAAACCCTTAACCTAGAACCCAAACCCGAAACCCTCAACACTAAACCCTAAACACTAACCTTAAAAACTTAACACTAAGCCCTTAGCACAAACCCCAAACACTTAGCACGAAACCCTAAACACTTAAGCACTTAACCCAAAAACTAAACCTTAAACATTTCAAACTAAACCCTAAACATTAGACCCTAAACCCTAAACCCTAAACAGTAAACCCCAAGGCCAGAACCTCGAGCCCTACTAAATCTAAACCTGAAACCAAAACCCGTCGGGGTTTCAGATGCTTACTGTTTGGATTTCAGAGTTTAGGGTTTTATTTGGGTTTTAGCCGAGCCGCTTGACCCTAAACCCTAAAACCTAAACTTAACACTCAACCCTAAACACAAAACACTAAACCCTGAAACCTACACACTAAAACCAAAACACTAGATTTCCACAAAAAATCTGGAGTACCCGGGCACCGGACCCCAGACTCCAGATTTCCAGAAAAAATCTGGAGTACCCGGGCCCCGGACTCCAGACTCCAGATTTCCAGAAAAAATCTGGAGTACCCACGCCCCGGACTCCAGACTCCAGATTTCCAGAAAAAATCTGGAGTACCCACGCCCCGGACTCCAGACTCCAGATTTCCAGAAAAAATCTGGAGTACCCACGCCCCGGACTCCAGACTCCAGATTTCCAGAAAAAATCTGGAGTACCCACGCCCCGGACTCCAGACTCCAGATTTCCAGAAAAAATCTGGAGTACCCACGCCCCGGACTCCAGACTCCAGATTTCCAGAAAAAATCTGGAGTACAGGGGCCCCGGACTCCAGACTCCAGATTTCCAGAAAAAATCTGGAGTACAGGGGCCCCGGGCTCCAGACTCCAGATTTCCAGAAAAAATCTGGAGTACCCGGGCCCCGGACTCCAGACTCCAGATTTCCAGAAAAAATCTGGAGTACTCGCGGCCCCAGACTCCAGATTACAGACTCCAGAATCTGGAGTCCAGAGTCCCGGTACTCCAGATTTTTTTTGGAAATCTGGAGTCTGGAGTCTGGAGGTACTCCAGATTTTTTCTGGAAATCTGGAGTCTGGAGTCTGGGGGTACGGAAATCTGGAGTCTGGAGTCTGGGGGTACTCCAGATTTTTTCTGGAAATCTGGAGTCTGGAGTCCGGGGCCCGGGTACTCCAGATTTTTTCTGGAAATCTGGAGTCTGGAGTCCGCCCCCCCTCCCAAAACCCCCTTCCCGAGGCCAAATGTGTGGATCATGGGGGGGGGGGGCGAGCATATATATATATATATATATATATATTCACACATATATATGTATATACACATATGTATATATACTCACCTCGTTTGCAGTTACAATGAAAAGGCTGGGAGCCAATGGGAGTTACACTTTCAAGTCGGGCCGCTCAGACCCTTAAAGGCCCCATTCTGAGGTCTTGCTACATATTACTGAGTATCATGAATCTGGTCCTAAAAACTTAAAACCTATCAATTGCAGTATTTAAATTATTATCGTATAATAGTACCCCCACCCCCCCCCCCCCCCACCCCGCCTTCACCGAGCAGAGACCTCCGCAAGTCGGCCAAAGCTGCCTCAGCTTTGATGCCCCTCCGCTGCTGAGACGCGGGTGCTGTTGCACTACCCCCAAGGGCGGTTTCCAAGAAAGTTTCTCAAGTGATGGGTCCCAAGGGGAGAGCTTACGATGAGATCGTGCCGATTTCCGTGGGGGGGGTGTGGGCTGGCGGGGGGGGGTGGGGGCATGCTGCTTCATGTTTGGCATCTTGTGTGTTTTGCACCTGAGCCCCGGGCCGTCGCATTCGCCTTGCGAGACGACATCGCCTTGCACTTTGCACAGCTGCCGCACCCATCTTTCAGAGTTGCGGCCAAAAAGTATTTGCCTTGAACTCTGCAGGTACTCTGCGCCGTTCTTCGCGGGACTCGGACTCTTTGGGGGCCGGTACTTCAAGGATACCCTGTGGCACTTTCAGTCAGACTTTCTGCAGGTGGGCACTCCAAGAATACTCTGCAGGATTTCTTGCGGGTGATGGCGGGCATTCTCTGCAGGTGCAGGAGAGGAGACCCGGGCGAGGAGCACAGGACGTCAAACCCAACAACCCCACAAGCTGAGAATCCGGAACAAGTTGTCATCAATTTTACGAGCTGGGTACATTCCATCATTTTTCACGAAGGAACATGCATCTATTCCCATTGCATGGTACCTACTTTCATGGGGTTCCCCACTACCCCCCTCTATAGTACTCCTCACCCCAACAAGCTCCCCCATTCAACAACCTTAATTGGGCTTCACTGTCCCTCAATAGCCTTAACTACGGGGGGAGCCTAGGGGGTAGTATAGAGGGGGGTGGTACCCCTAAACCCTAAACCCTAAACCCTAAACCCTAAACCCTAAACCCTAAACCCTAAACCCTAAACCCTAAACCCTAAACCCTAAACCCTAGGGGAACCCATGATACCTTGTCCTGCTTTCCGAGACTACCGGAGACCTGGGCCCTGGACCAAAACGGCCGGCGCTCCCTGGAGCTTGTCATGCCAAGGCTCCTCGGCCACCTTGGAGGTTTAGGGTTTAGGGCTTAGGGTTTAGGGCTTTTAGGGTTGAGAGTTTAGGGTTTAGGGCTTGGGGTTTAGGGTTTAGGGCTTAGGGCTTAGGGCTTAGGGCTTAGGGTTTAGGGTTTAGGGTTTAGGGGCTTTAGCACAAACCCTCAGAAGCCATCATCTCAGCCCCGTACGAGCAGCGCTGGGCACCTCGACTGGACAAAGACACTTGCAAACACGCCCCTAAACCCTAAACCCTAAACCCTACACCCTACACCCTTCACCTGGCGCTTTACGGTTCGGTACCCTAAACAGCCAGGGCTCATGATTTAGGCAAGCCCCCACGCATAGATATAGTTCTCCTTAGGGGTGCGGATTTCTACATGTATTGTATGTGACTGACTTTACTATCAGTGATGATGTGTATATCACAGATGAAAATACTGCTGAATATGCCCATGTCTTTTTAATCCATTCCTTTTTATGGTATATATATATATATAGGAGATAGTACTACATCTCATATCTGATTATATCTTAACCTTAATATGTCTTAGTATGTCTTTCTATAACTCTTGGTAGAAATGATATCATTCAGGCTTTTTGATATGATGTATTTCCATACACCGTTATTACATGTTGTCATATCTTATGATATCTTGTTAAATATTGTTATATCTTGTTAAATCTTGTTAAATCTTGTTATATCTTGCTATATCTTGATATATATATCTTGTTATATCTTGTTATATCTTGTTGTATCTTGTTATATCTTGCTATATCTTATACTGTGTTACTATATCTTTGTGTATCTCATTAATAAAGTTATATGTTGCTGTCCTGTTTTAGATACTCGATCTATGAACAAGTGAGGTGCGCGTGCCTCTGCTGTCGAGACCGGTAGCGGGGAGACCGTCGCAAGGCCTAGGCATTCGTCAAAAGACTAAACCGAACCCGAAACCCAAGTGCGTTTGGACTCGTCGTTTCTGCAGCGACGTGGCTCAGACAGGGAATGTCTTCACAGTTGACTTGAGAGTGGCCACTTAAAACCACATCGCACGCCTTCAGTCTCACCTTTACACAAGCAAGTGTTTCAGGTGAACGGCATCTCATTACCCCCGCACTGGAAATGCCAAGAAAGGTTGCGGGCAGAGTTGGTAAATTCATCCCGCAGGCCAAGCCAACAAACGTGCAAACTCTGCTGCATGATTGTTGCATCTGCTTGGCCTCTTTGTGTTAGAATTTCTGACCGGCTTTTTTTTGAATCTTGCTGCGGCTTCCGTCCAAGCCGAGCTGCGAGTCGGCGCACTGCCGAGGTCTTGCGGGCGAGACATCGCCGAAGCTCCTTGATGCAGGTGTCCGTGCTGAAAATCGTCGAGGAGAGCTTGGGGTGAAGAGGTGTGATTCAAGGGCTTGGGAGGCTTCCGGATTCCGGGTTCCGGGAGGTGCATAAGCTTCAGACCTTGCGACGTGCCATGGAAGGAAAACAGCATACCAAGGCTTGCGCCTGGAAGTCGCTAAAATAAACACGAGTGTTCTGCTTGCTGCGCGCCTCGAGACTCGCCGGGCGCGCCCAGCTGCTAGTCCTGCACAAGCCACAAACCTAGGATGGCCCCCTTAAAACCCTCCTAAACATATTCCTGAATATGGTCCTCTTCAACCCAATAAGGGAAATAAGGGCCTACCGACAAAGAGAGGCGCAGTGATGCTGATGGAATTTCGCAAGTTGTTGCGGGCATGGCAGGGGTGGTGGTGCTGCTGGTGTTGGTGGCGGTGATAGAAGGAATGGCTTTGGAGTGTCAATGGTTGCGGCCTCAACCAACCGGGCTAGTTGTCGTTGTAGTTGTGCTCGTCGTCTCAATATATAGCAGTTGTCGTATCTACCGTGGCAGAAGCCCGTAACATGCTGAGAACAATCTCGGGAGGGTAAATTTCGGGCAAATCCAAAAAAACAGATGGGGATGACCGAGTGGCTAACTATGCAAAGTTGCACGGAAGATGGCAATGGGAAACCTCAAATGGAGATGAAGACCCCAGCTGAAGAAGTGCAGCCCCTCAGGGCGAAGAGGAGAAGCTGGAAAAGCCCACGTTGGCAATGAAAACCGCGTGAACGCAGGTCCTTGCTGGAATCGTGCTTGACTCCGAGGGTGTTTGAGTCGAACGTGCGCTGCAAATTGCTTGAAACGCGGAGTTTGACATGGTACAACGGCAACGAGAACGGTAACAGAAGCCCTGTCCTATCTCAGCTCCAAAACTTCTACATGACCGCAGGTGTTGCGTGTTCTTCTCACACAGACGCACCAAACGCGACATCCCTCCCAAAAATGGCCAGCACTATGTTATTCTGGTCGAATACTAACCACCATCAGAACCATTATGAGAACTCCATATATAAACCCATAACCCCAAAACCCTATAACCCTAACCCTATTAACCCTATTAACCCTAGCAACCCTAACCCTATTAACCCTATTAACCCTATCAACCCTATTAACCCTATCACCCCTCTTAACCCTATTAACTCTATTCACCCGGTCTTCGTAGATTCCCCCTGTCTCCTGTCCCACTGCCACGTGCAGCGGCGCAGCGCCCGGACTGGGGTGCGCCGGGGCCCTGGGGCATCGGGGTTTAGGGTTTAGGGTTCAGGGTTTAGGGTTTAGGGTTTAGGGTTTAGGGTTTAGGGTTTAGGGTTTAGGGGGGGCATCGGTGCTTCGTAAGGACACCCCAAAAAAGCGCGGCCTCTTGAAGGCAGAGACGGCGGTGGGCACTGAGAAGGCCCTTCTGACGAAACCCCAAGTCTATCGATGTATTGTTGCAGAATACTGGAATATCATTGTATAACATTGAAGGTTGGTGATAACAGAGTTAGCCAACATACATACATGTTCATAAATATAAACACACACAGACACACACACACACACACACACACACACATATACAGACATATACATATATGTATATGTATAGATGACATTATTTCTTTGTTTACATCCTTTTCAACTAGAAGGAAAGACTGCCCCAGCAGCGCTCAGCGCCTCGATGCCATGTGATGTCACCGCAGCCCATCCATCCAACAGCCTACCTCTCGCGCAGCGGGCGACATGCCATGCAAAGCACTGTTGTACTGCTTTGGGGTTTAGGGTTAGGGTTTAGGGTGTAGGGTGTAGGGTTTAGGGTTTAGCGTTTAGGGTTTAGGGTTTGGGGTTTAGGTTTAGGTTTAGGGTTTAGGGTTTCGGGTTTAGGGTTTAGGGTTTAGGGTTTAGGGTTTAGGATTTAGGGTTGTGTGTCTTGTCACAGAAACTCTGGTTCAGGGAGCCGTAACCCTCTCGTTGATTTGGCCGACCAACTGGCACCACGAGCGAAGTGGCTTGAGGACATGGAGTGGGCTTCGGCATGATGTACGCAATCCCTCGGGCACATCTCAAGCAAGATGCCCGAAAGGAGGTGACGTTCTGAGGCAGGCGGCGTGAGGTGAGCCTCAAGAAAATGGCGTTTTCCATGATGCGTCTGTATCACTGTATCCTCGGCTCGCTGGCTTCAAAGAGATGAGGCCTGCTCAGCGCAGCAAAACTCATGGAAAAAACTCCGATGGTATGGCCTCTGTGGCTGGACGCTTAGTGCTGGTCACGAGCCAGTGGGTCCTTGTCAACCTATGGCTGAGGCTCACTTCTTCTTGCCGCCCTTGTCGTCCTCGCCCTTGCGCTCACAGCTCACCACCTTGCCCAACATCACGACACCGTTGCCATCCATGAAGGCCACACGAGACAGGCCCTCGCAGTTCTTGAAAGTGTCGCAAACCAAAGGCTGCTGGGGCTGGAAGCTGCACTGGGCCATCTCGTTGGATTTCAGGGAGTGAGGGTCCTCCATCTTCTTGCCGCCGGTCTCCTGAGAGATCATTGATGCGAAAATTGTCTTCTAGACAGTGCGGATACAGGACACAAAAGTCACAAAAGTACACTGCAGGGAAAACATCCAAAAAAAGGTCTCCTTGCCCATCTTCCACTTCAAGGCTGACACACGGCATGCTGCACGGCCGCAGCGCACAAAACCGATGGGCGAGTAGCCAATCTTGATCTCGTTCGGAATGTCGAGGACCTGGATCTGGGCATCGAACTCCTTGGTCTGGCCGAGAGTGGTGTCCTTCTTGTAAACCATTACATCACCAGAGCGGGGCATGTTGTTCTTGTCCAGACCCTTGATGTTCAGGCCAACGTTGTCGCCCGGGTTGGCGAAGTCCACACGGTTGTGGTGCATCTCCACAGTGAAGACCTTGCCAGTGCACGGGTTGGAGGCGGTGTGGGTGGGCAGGAAAACCACCTCCTCTCCAGGCTTCACCACGCCCTGCTCCACGCGGCCAGCCAGCACGTCACCGACACCCTTGATCTTGTAGATGCCGGAGATCGGCATCCTCATCGGGGCGCTGATGGGTCGCTCGGGCACACGGCACATCTTGTCCAGGACGTCATAGACGGTATCCACATGGATCTTCTCGGACCCGACCTCCACGTCCTGACCCTTCCACCAGGCCATGTTGTCGGACTTCTTGAGCAAGTTGTCACCCATCCAGCCAGAGATCGGCATCACGGGGGTGTTCTTCTCAATGAAGTCCTTCTTCCAGCCCACCTTCACCAGCATGCTCTTCATCTCGTTGGCAACCTCATCGTAGCGAGCCTGCTTGTAGCCCGCCGTGTCGCAGTCCATCTTGTTCACACCAATGCAAATCTGCTTCACACCGAGCAGGTTGATCAGTCGGGAGTGCTGACGGGTCTGGCCCTGAATCTCGCCAGCCTTGTGGTTGCCCTTGGCAATGGCCGTCGTGAAGTTTCCGTCTGCGGGCACCATGATCAGGGCCACATCGGCCTGGGATGCACCGGTGATCATGTTCTTGATGAAGTCGCGGTGGCCTGGGGCATCGATGATGGTGTAGTGCCACTTCTCGGTGAAGAACTCCTTGGTGGTGCAGGAGATGGTCACGCCTCGCTCGCGCTCCTCCTTCTGCCTGTCCATGAAGAAGGCGAATGCGAACGAGCCCTTGCCCAGACGCTCTGCTTCCTGCTTCAGCTTCTCCAGCTCACGCTCGGGCAGCCCACCAAGCTCGAAGATCAAGCGGCCGGTGGTGGTGGACTTGCCGCTGTCGACATGGCCGCAGATCACGATGGACAGGTGCTCCTTCTCCGAGTTGGCAGGCATGGCACTACGAAGAACTGAGCTCTGAGAGCTTTGTTCAGGACGCAACTGGCTTCTCAAACACGAGCTAGAGCACGCGCGGCAGTCGCACAGACTCTGCCTCATGCAGCGACATCACGACATCACTGACAGCCAAGGATTCTGCGGCTACCCAAGAACCCTCGCTCTTTCTCCGGTTGCAGGCGGGTCTAAAGAGTTTTCTGAGTTCCCATGCAGCAGATCAAGGTACGAGCTGCAGCAAGGAGCACTACAGGAACCGAGGCCTCACTGGCCCCGGTAGAACCCAGCTAAGCACGTGCTGCTTGTTGCACCTGGGCTCCAACCCTCCGGCGCTTAAACTGCTTTGGAGCATCAGGAGGAGTTCAACTACGGGGCCTGCAAAATATTTGTTAAATGTAGGCCATGTGTATGAGAGAATGGCTGGTGATTTCACAGCCACCCCATTAAACAGTTGCGCATTAACAAACATCCGAATTGCTCAGAATCTCCGTGCCTTTGCCACGTACTTCGCAGCTTCCCGGCCTTGGCATTGAACCATTGAACTGCCCAAACTTCGGAGGGGCTTCCCCTCTCACCCTATGCAAAACCCCTACGCAACCACCCGCTTCTGCCCCCAGCTGCAGCATCCCCATTTGTGATCATCCCCTAGTGCGCGCCTTTGAGGAGCGCCACGGCTTTTGGGGCCTAGAAGGTGTTGACAATCTTGGACTGGTTCGGGCTGCGCCCGAGGAAGGTGACCCGGCCGGACTCCAGGTTGTAGATGCCACCCTGGATGTCCACCTCCCCCTTCTGCACCTGCGCAGGTGGTACTCTATCTAGCTTGAGATTCCCGCGCTCGCGGGCTTAAGTTGGACACTCATCCCCAACTTAACATGTGTGATGGTTGCAAAAATACGGCAGAACTGTCAGAAGGTAAGGGGGTGGAGAGTTTTCAAGGCACTCTGTACGTCTGAAGATGCCCCATTCTGGCGACCCATTCAGTGCTGCCCAGTCCAGGCGACAGAAGCCTTGTCACTGATGAAAGCGGAGTTGGTCAACAGAAAGTCCATGGTGTGAAACACATTCCTCAGAGTGCAGCTCTTCGAACGGGAGTGTAAAAGAATAGAGACATATAGCTAGATGAGATCAAATATCGCAATTTATTAGCACAACAAGGCAATGAGTACTACAATGGTGTGATACATCGGTATAATAATAGAGGTAATGCACAAATACCGTACGATAACATAATCATAGTGCCATCATATGCTCGCCTGAACTTGACTTGAGAGCAGGGCGAACCAAAGCTAGTGCCTAGCTTTTGTATCGGACACATGAAGGCAGCACATATACATCGAACCAACTCTCTCATATGTGAGCTTCCGTTGCACGGATCAAGACAGCAAGCCAACGAATAGTATCCTGGATGAGCTTGCGTTGTGCGATTTTCAACATCAAGCAAAGTACTGGTTCGCATGAGAAGCAACCGGGCCACGACCTAGTTAACTGGACAATGTTGACACGATGTCTGTGGAAAGTGTATCCTATATATGGGCTATGTTGCACACATGAAGACCACACATATGCATCGAACCAACTCTGTCAGATGTGAGCTTGCGTTGCAAAAAGAGCGCATGTGCGAGAACAAGTGTTGTCAACATCAAACAAAATAATGATTAAGAATAGGGGCCGAGGGGGGGGGGCCGGGTCTAAGGGCAAGGGACCCCCCCCTCCCCCAAAATGGGTGGCTCCCCCCAAATCTCCGATGTATCCGAGATTCAGGCCCTTGAGTGCTGTTTGTCCCAACAACAAATTGGCCAACAGGAACTCCCGCAAAGCTCGCGAAGGAGCGAGCTTTCGTGACATCCTACGCCAACAAAAGCCGAGACTCATCTGCACAGCCAGGTTCGCAATCTCCGCTTCCGTGGCATCCCTTGGCTCAACTTTCTGCCCTTGCGGGCCAGACTTGGGCTTCGACGCTTGAAGCCCCGGAACCCAAAGAACCCTCAAGCCCTCTAACTCCTACACCCTAAATCCCTTAAGCCCTCTAAACCCTACACCCGAATCCCTTGAGCCCTCTAAACCCTACACCCTAAACCCCTTAAGCCCTGCAAACCCTCGACCCTAGAAACCCCAGACCCCAAACTGAAGCCCTCGACCCTACACCTCTTAAGCCCTCCAGAAACCCCAGACCCCCAAACCCTAAACCCTAAACCAAAAACCCAGAAGGTGCTCTCAGCCCCTGCGGCCCGGTGTCTCGCCGAGCTCAAGGGCCGCCCCCCGAGCCACGCTGCTTAGGCCGGCAAGCAGGGAGTCCAGCGCCTTGCCGGCCTTGCTGACCTGGCTTAGAATTTAGGGTTTAGGGTTGAGGGTTTAGGGTTTAGGGTTTAGGGCTGAGGGTTGAGGGTTGAGGATTGAGGGTTTAGGGTTTAGGGTTTAGGGTTTAGGGTTTAGGGTTTAGGGTTTAGGGTTTAGGGTTTAGGGTTTAGGGTTTAGGTTTCGACTTGGAATCATTATGACACATAACACCGCTTTAAGGTACTATCAGGGCATTCGAATAGACCATGACAGTTCTATTTTGCTTTGTTGTTGCATTTAGCATATTACTATACTACTCGGATTAGTGTACTGTGCTAGACACTCTGGCTACCGTGCATTGCTGACGCAAGACCTACAACAGGCTCTGCGACGCGAAAGCAGTCACTGAGAGGACGATCTGGCTCCGGAGCATCCTCAAGAGAAAACTGTCACTGATTACATCCGAAATCGACGTCCCAAAAAGCATCGACAGTTGCAAGGGCTGTGTTTCTGGCACCCTGGCATGCACAATCCAAAGGAGGACAGGAGTCCATCTTCCCAACAACGATTACTCTACAGTCATGTTGGGAGCCGGACACCAAAACGGTACAACTCGTCCGGAGGAGTGCGTGCTCCCGCGCATCCACGGAAGATTGCCGTGGGTTGTCATCAAGGCGATTGCGTCGCTGAGCTTTGGGACTCTTCTTGGGTCCTTTGAAGGCTCCTGGACTTCTAAAGGATCGTTGCTCGGCCTAAACCCTAAACCCTAAGCCCTGAACCCTGAACCCTGAACCCTAATCCCGCCTTGTTCTCGGAGGAGTTCAGAAAGGCCCTGGTGGCCCCCCTGACAGCTGCACAGCCCGTGTGGCCCAGGATCAAGATCAGCTGCGTCTGCCTCAGGTGTTTAGGGCTTAGGGTTTAGGGTTTAGGGCTTAGGGTGTGTACACTCAAATGGCCCGAGCTTTCCATAAGCTTGCACTATGATACCCTAAACCCTAAACCCTAAACCCTCAACCCTCAACCCTAAACATCCCTAAAAGCCTGGCCCTGGCCAGCCATTCGCCAGGGCGCAGCGTGCCGGTGCAGAACTCCAAGCTGCCCATGACACTACCTGTTCACTTCTGTATTCAGGGAAGTCTTAGGGTCTGCAGGACTCTTATATTCTACATATGCTATGCCACATATACTAAAAACTACGCCCCTGGGGCGTGGGGAGTGTTGCGACAAAAGCGATGGGGTCGCAGTGCTCTGTTCAAGGTGTTAAAGGAAGGTGCTGACACAAGAGGTTTGATGAGGGTTTTTATCCTTTCAGAGCATTCTCATGTGTTTTGGTCATTCCTTGGGCCCCGGCCTGGGGACAAGCTGGAAACCACCCAGGTTTGGGGTTTAGGGTTTAGGGTTTAGGGTTTAGGGTTTAGGGTTTAGGGTTTAGGGTTTAGGGTGACGTCCCTATACCTTCTCTGAAAGAGCGCCCTCTCGGCTCCTTCAGCGTGCGTGAAGCTGTTGCCCACATTTCTTAGCACGAAGAGGTCCCCGGGCATCGCGTCGAAAATTGCCTCCTGACAGTGCTTCCGAATCTGGGCGCATTCCCCAAACCACCCCAAACCCCGCAAACCCTCATCACCTCCCCCCCCAAAAAACAAATATTGAATAAACAATAGAAAAAAACCTCCCTAACCACTTGAATCCCAGACCCTAAACTTGCATCCCCCAAGCCCAACCAAGCCAGGCAGTGTCTCCAGCGCAGCACGCGAGTCTGCACAGCCGACGATTGCCGTGTGGGGCGCCTGTCCCTGCTTTGCCAAGGCCCTCCTGGCACAGGGCTCCCAGAGAGGGCTTCGGGCACGTGCCCTTTGAGGATTCAAGCACCCGCTTCTGCCAGTTTCGCGGCAAGCTCGCGCAAATCTAGCTGCCGCTTAATACACTCAGCGCCTCCAAAGAACTCGACTAGCCGGAATGCCTCAGTGCCTACAGCGAAAACTCCTTACTCAACTCCAAGGTTGTTAAGGTTCATTCGATCCCTGAGCTTCGGCCTAACGATTCTTGTTTGCTTCGAGGCTGTGGGTTTAGGGTTTGGGGCTTAGGGTTTAGGGTTTAGGGTTTAGGGTTTAGAAGGATTGTCCTCATCTCTGGCGTGATCTTCCCAGCGAGCGGCATGCCAACGGCAAAGCGTTCATTGCCTGCCTGGGCAGCTACAATAGGGCTGGTCCTGGTCTGCAGTACTCTTGGGCAGTGAGAAGTACTACCGGGTTGCGTTAGGGTGCTAGAGTGCTGGTGGTGGTGGTGGTGGAGGTCGTGGTGGTGGCAGTGGTGGGCTCTCCCTCCTAGCCTTGAGGAGCTGCATGGCCTGCTCCGGTGGGATGGGCTCATCTCCTGCAGCATTCACGCCCGGCTGCCCTCAAGCCTTCAAGATTCTGCGCCTTAGGGAACTTAGGGAAACTTACAGAAACTGACAGTCTCTTGCTGAGCCCACTCAAACCCAACTCTCCTGTCGTGCGGATGGGCAAGGCCGCCATGGAGGGCGGCAGCTGGACGGCAGAGGACAGGAGCTCATCCTGCAAAGGCGAGCGTCCCAAGAATTCCACCCGTCCCGTGGAGAGGTGGTAGATGCCCCCTTGGATCATCAGCTCTCCGCGGCTCACAAAGCCTCTCAGTGTTTCGCCTCGGCTTTTAGAGCGGAAGCTGCTGGGGTTTGTTTTTGTTGAGGCTTCGTTTTCGGGCGTGTGGAGGCCTATCTTGGGCCTGAGGCTCAAGGCTTCGTCTGCGCCTATGCGGGGTTATGTGGGTTTTATGTTGGCTTTTTGGCATTGGGGTCGGAACGTCTCCAATTCAACCGAGGCCACTGAACTTCAGGAGGAAGTTCATGCAGTGGAAAACATTCACCCTAACAGCGTACTCAGCCAGCTGGTCCAGGCCTGCAAATGGGCCCAAGTGCTTGCAGGCCTCCTCTGCCACAGACGCAAGGTCCATGAGAAGGCCTTCTAAAGCACAGCCTATGGATTTGGAGCTTCCTTTTTGAAGGTATGTCCTCACAGCGCCCTTGATGACCGTGCAATCCGTATGGCCCAACACCAGGATCAGCCGCGTCCCGAGCTTGGACACACAGAACTCCAAGCTGCCCACCATACTGCCTTCCGCGTGGGTGCAGGTGTTTCCAGCATTGCGCAGCACAAACAGGTCGCCTGGCATGGCATCGAAGAGGGAGTCGATGGGGGCACGCGCATCGGCACAGCCCATGATTGCGCTGTGCGGCGCCTGGCCGCAGCTAACGAGCGCATCGCGCATGGATGATGTGGCGACTTTGGCGAGGGGCGCCCCCACCGCAAAGCGCTCGTTCCCGTCTTTGAGGAGGTTCAAAGCCTCCAGGGCAGCGACCCGGCAGTCTGCACCAGTTCGGACGCCGTGAACACCACGACGGGGGCTGGTACTCTTGGGCTCCATAGAGGGCGGCAACGCCAACTTCAAGTTCAGCAAGGTCGACTGCCGTGGCGACCGACCCATGAACTCCACTAGGCCGGTGTCCATGTGATAGAGGGCTCCCTGGATCTCCACCTGACCGCTTTTCACCCTCTCCCGAATGGATCTGCTGAACTTGAGCAAAAAGTCCACCGTGTGAAACACATTGATCCTGACAGCATGGGCAGCCACCTCCTCCTGCAAGGCTTTGGGCCCCAGGTCGTAGGAGGCTTGCTCAGCAACCACACTCAGGCCATGCAGCAGGCCGTCCAGGGCCGAGCGGGCCTTGGTGGTACCCCGATTGTAGGCGTTGAAGAACATCTTGGTGGCGTTGTAGATCGACGGACAGGTTGTGTGGCCTAAAACCAATACCATCCGAGTCCCAAGGCCACCTGTGCAGAATTCCAGGCTGCCCACCATGCTCCCCTCCGCATGCGTACAGGTGTTTCCGGCATTGCGCAGGGCGAAGATGTCGCCTGGCATACTATCGAAAATGGTCCTCAGTCACCCCAGATCTGGCAGAATACCCCCAAAATACCCCCCATCATACCCCCAAATATCCCCAAAATACCCGCCAAAATACCGCCCACATGTTCTCTAAATATCCCCAAATACCCCAACAGCCATCCAACCTCGTAGCCCTTTAGGCCGTTCCCGGAGAGAGGATTCCCGTAGAGTGTTTCCCCAATATGCCACATATTTCTTGCCAAGGAGCTCCCCTAAACCCGAACCAAAAAAATCAAGAACAAGTAAAAATAAAAGAAAAGCGCTCCCTACAAAGCCCCTGGGGGCGACCCTGAACCGGCCTGTTGATCTCCGAAAGAGGGGTCAACCCTTTTGAGGTTTAGGGTTTTGGGGTTCGGGTTTCAAGTTTCGGGTTTTAGGGCTTAGGGTTGGGATGTTCCCCCTTACACGAACAGATCCTGAATAGGGATTCTAGTACCCCCCATTCTAATCCCTGTTAAAAGGATCCGCTAGTATAAGGGGGAACATCCTTAGTCCTGCAGCTCGAAGGTCCAGGAGGACCCAGACCCCGCCCCCAACACCTGCTGGGACTGCCTGACACCCCCTGA